GTTAACTGATTTTTAGTGATTTTTAACAGTCCACTCCCTTAATGGCGCAACCACTGTAAATTCCGATTGGGGGAAGTTTGATTACATCAGTAACAAATAAAATGAGCTTTTGATATATTTTAATAATGTCGAATCACCTTCGAGTTAGCATGTACAATATACTAATTTTAAATAATGAATTACAAAGGGTTTTATCGCTCTACAGTCGGGAATTGTATACACAAATGTCGAACAATGCTGGTAATATCTGATTTCTTTCTTATATAAGATGCAAATTCATTATGACATCTGCTTTTTCAAGAATTTTACCAAACAACAAACATTGTCTTTAATAGTTTTCTGTGTTCATAAATTCTTCATAAAAATTTTAAATTCTTGTTTTTGATTTTCTTGACATTCTTTCATTTTCTTGACAACGTCTTGATTGACATCATTTTTGATTACAGATTTAGCTTTTCCTCTTTAATCTGCACTGCCTGCAATTGCATGTTGAATCTTTTGTTGTGCGATTATTAAGAGACACCAAAATTCAATGGCAGGTGTCTTTTCGACATTACATGTTAATTTCAGTTTCTCGAGTCACGCCAATGAAGATAAATGAAATTGTATCAAATCATTACCTTTCGAGGTTTAAAGTTTTTTTCGTTGAATCTCCATAGATTTGGTATTTTGACGTCTCAGAGACCTAAATCACTATTAAATCACACATAACTTTCATATTCTGAAGATATTTATTTGGTCCACCTCTGGTGTTTTTCGCCAAATTCCCAGTATTCGCTATAGATATAACCAACATTTAAGCTGTTCCCACAAGCGATTGACTTGAGATCGCATTAAATGCGAAATTTGTTAGTCCAGATTAACATCGCCAACCATAACGATTCGCATCGATTACAGTTAGCCGCAAGAGGATGCATAATTTACTCCGTCGTCTATTGGATTACTACTACTAAGTATAGTCTATAGTCACAGATTTACTTACATATAATAAATTGTCTACAAGCAAAGCAATGCGGCAATTGTTGTGGTTTAGCTCTATAAATAACAGTAAATATATGTATGTATGTAGTAATGTGAGCTATTATGTGTATACGAGTACAAACCGAGACCGAGACCGAGTAACTTATTGAATGCCCTGTTTTTACCACAAATTATGTTATAATATTAATAATAGCCATAAATGTAATATATTTGTATGTGTGTTGTATCACTGCATAAACTCATTGGGTGATAATACATAGAGAAAGCGATATTACGAATAGCCTTACTTCAGTATCTTTTATTTGTCTGTCAAATTATTTACTGATAATTTGTATACCCTGAACAGGGTATATTAAGTTTGCCACGAAGTTTCTAACAACCAGAAAGAAACGTCAGATACCCTGTAAAGTATATACAATACATAAATGATCAGCGTGACGAGATGAGTGGATTTAGCTATGTCCGCGAACTAGTCTCTCATTTTTTAAGATATCGATATGGAATTTTGCGCACCCCCTTTTATCGCTAAGAAGGTGGTCCGATAGGATATAACTGCGATACAAATTTAGCGATCAATATTAAGAAATTGTATGGAAAATGTTTTTGTTTGACAGTATATGTATCTTCACAAAATTTTGAATACATTATTGAAAAAGGCAACGCTACGATCTCCAAACATATTGTTCGGTTCGGACCACTATAGCATACGTGGTTTTATTCTTTATAAATAGTTGTAAATTCTAGCACACAAAATCGGATAGCCCAGTAATAGCATAACATAAAAGTGCAACAATAAAATTGGTCGTAGGTTACGCTTTTGCAGTTTATTGTCAGAAGACATATGAATCTTTGTGAATACATATATACATGAAGGTGCAATTAGAACACTTCTTAGAGTATAACGGTACATAAAATAAAATACACAAATAAAATTCAAGCGTAAATTACTATTGAGAAACATTAAAGCTGCCGTGAGCAGTGGAATCTGCGAATTTAATTGCTTTCATGTTTACGATTTAGATATTTTATCGAGCGGGTGTTTTCGCTTGCGCCGCACCAATGAATCACTGCTGTCTTCCGAGCAAAATGCAGTAGCGGCCGTAAACTAATTAAAATAATAAACACTAAAATAAATTTCATTAACGCAGTTGCCATTATTGTGCAATTAAAGAGAATGAGAAAAATCATTATCCAGAGTTGCATTATTACATTTGCATTGATTGTGTATCTTTAAGTGATTTGTGGAAAATTAATGACTTTTTTCATTGCTTGACTACTTTCCTTCTCGGGTATTATGAACATTACGATTAATTGTTTTCGTCTTTGGTCTTAATTCCGCTGTCTGGCGTCGGTGCGAATTTACCATATTCGCGAGTTGCTGCACAAACTCAAATCAAAGTGAGACATTGCCTACAATTTGGCCAGCTGAAAGTGAATCACAAACAAGTTTAGATGTAATCAAATCGCCGCACCTGTTCACCTGTAAATTACATTAAGGTAAAATCACGCTTAAATCTTAATGCATTTCACAAAGCGGAGTTATCCAGACATATAATGTTTTATTTATATATGTCCATTTTAATTATTTGGAAATTATCGTGAGTTCAAATGCAATTTTTATCTTAAAACTGAACTGAGATTGGTGCCCACGATATCGTCCTCAGTTATTTGTGAAATTCTTTGCATATACCACTAACGATATGTTGGTATTTTTCACGATAGTAATTCGTTTTTCATTAAATTAACACTTTTTCTCCCGTCGAAAACACTCCGCAGCTTCGCATAGGAGCTTAAATTCAATTATCAAAATTTCCAAATGGGGTTGTAAGTTTATCACTTTCTTTTAGCGTAAAATAGGAATACAATCGAGAAAAATTAATGGTCACATTTTCTAAAATAGGCAAATGGTCCAATTAGTTAGTATTTACACACCGAGACTCTTGTTGAACGAACTCGTAGTTTGTTGCAGAGAAGTTCGAAGGGAACCGTGTTGCACAATAATAGTAGAGAAAAACAATATTTTTGAAGTACTGTTTAAACGAAGAATACAGGAATTTGAGAATATGATATGAAAGTGAATGTAGAAATTGCCCGATACGAGTCGCCCGTAAAGGCAATGGGCAACTCCAAAAGTAAATTTCCCTATAGTGAGCAACAAAAGAGCAGACTATCATTATATTATTGGTCGGCAGTCAAGGCGCATTCCTTGCTTGGGAGATCAAGTGTAGCAGGCGCGTCAAATTTGTGCCCGAACTCCTGTATGCCTCTCGGGGATAAGCTTGAATAGTTTTTAATAACTTATGAGTTGAAAAAGAGCCGATTGAAATACCTTTGATTGTTATTATAGTAATTGGTTTCTCTTAAAACGTTGATTATTTAATTTTTAGTATTTGTATTTAAAACATTTGTTGTTATTGTTCCTGGTTTCAAAGCTTTGGCTTCCTAATACCATCAGAAAGTAAGCATTATATCTAATTGTTTAACGTGGTCTTGATTATTGAAGATGAAAAGGGGTATAAATATTCTTGCATGTAACCGTGATTGGACCAAGAGTATTAGCTCCTGTTCCAAATTTGTGTGTGTATGCGAATGTCTGTATTGAAGCTTTTTTATGCATTCAGCAGACACTAAGCATGCTTTCACTAATTTCAGATGTTTTTATGGCATACCTATTTGATGTCTTCTTTGTACCCTTATATTCTTTGAAGCAATTCATTCGGAAATTTTGCCTTAAACTTTTTCGAAAATAATTTCTGGCTTTGATGAAATTTCACCCCTGAGCTACTTGCGAACTTTTAAGCTTTCATCCTTCACTTGACCGTTCACTTTATTTCAGTTCACTCTGCTTATTTCAATGTAATGCCTTTAAGGCCTGCAGGAAAACTTTTTTACAGTACGCATACGGTAACTAATTGCAAATATACGGCAGTAAAAACTTTTTGTGTTAGATTTTTCCTAGTATCAGTTCGAAAGTAGTTCTGTGAAGGTTTAAGTTTTGCTCAAATATTGGTTGAAGGCAGCATAAATTTGCTAACGACTTTCATATAGAGGATTCAGTTAAGAGAACCAAATCAAGTTGAAATTGTAGTTGCTGTTAAATGTAAATCCTGGATTTTTTATATATTAATATATTAACATTTAGTAAGAAATCCTGCCCTCACAACTAACATTAAAGCCTCATATAGCGTGTTTAATAGGGTCGTTAGTTACGGTTAAGCGCGACTCGATTTTGAAAAGTTATTTTAGACTCGTTAAAATTTAACAAAAGTTTTATAATGACTATTTAAATAAGTTATTTATATGCAAATCATCAATTTTAACTGCAACGGGATTCAAAACTTATTAATTATATTCACGACGAAAGTTATTGTAAATAATTTTAGCTTCTACAAATAGTTTGAGTTCACAGCTATGAAATGGACTTATGAATTGTAGTTATATGGATGATATCCACAACAAGGCAGCTATTAGAAGCTGTCTAGACTTCTGATACATGTGCATTATGAACACAGAGTCACGGCATCAAATCAAGCGCAATAATAGACAAAGCATTATTTTCTCAGATTATTTTAATATTCAAATAATACAATATATAACATTCTTATGAAATTTTGTTAAACTTATTATCCTAAAAAAGAACTTTAAAACACAAGTTCGAATACAAAGCTGTAATTACTCAATTTCTGCTAGGACAAACATCAAAAGGAAAAAAAAAAATGTAATTTAAGTATGTACAAAGATATTTCTTCTGCTGCTATCTCAAAATATGCTTCAACATTTACGCAATACTAGTTTGTTACTTAAGTACATGTATATGTACTTTTATATAATATGGTTTATGGTTCTCAAAACTTTTAAATACAATTAATTTTGATTTTGATAATTCATTATCACGTTACAATGCGTTTAAACCATGGCAGACCGTTATTAATCCCTATTATCAAATTCTTATTATTATTTTTATTTAAGCCCAACTCAACCTTAAGTTAGTTATAACAGTGAAAAATCTCGAAACTTACCGATGAGTTTTCATCACAGTTGAGCAATCCGTAGAAGTCCTCGTCGGGGCTTCGTTTAAAACTCAAGACCGCATCGACCGCGCTCATATTGATGGTGTGTGGACCTGTTTTTAACTCTTCTCTTCGTAGATCTATTTAGATTCAATTAAACACTGTAGATTCAGGCAAGAAAAGGGGGTACACACAAAAGCACAAATATTAATTTAGTGATCAAAATAAAGTAGAATGATATACTGATTTAGAAAACAGGCTGGCATATGAGTACAGAGTTGCTGGACCAAAAGAGTTAACAAAACTATAAAAAACCTCAACAGCAAGAAACAACAAGTGTTTGTTTATCAGTATTCATTCTATGTACATATATATCTCTATGTGTGTTATATATTTTCTAAGAAGCGTCTCTGGTCAAATCGCTTTAGTTTATTAATAGTAAATAGTCATATGTAGCTTCAAGTGAATATTTGATGGTGGGAAAACACAAGTGTGAGTGCGTGCTTGAGTAGTGAGCAGATAATCCAATACAAATTAAGCATACAAGTATTATACTAGAAGTAAGGCACACAATGCCAGCGGAAGAGCGCAAATATATTTTTTACTAAAGTCAGCAGAAATAAATTGACCTATTCGACTTAAGAATAACAGTTTCATCAAGATATTGATGTATATTGAATAGAGAAGCCCGTAGACCCGAAAAACTGTTGATTGGCATCGTGTAGATGTTGTGTCAAGGCGATAATCAAAAATCGAGCTTAGATTGCAAAAAACCCAAGAACAAAATGCAAAAAAGAACAAAAACAACAAGTCCACAACCGTCACTTTCACTTCAATGCGCGTTGCAACGCCAATAAACCACTGTTACATATACACAAACAGTTATGAATTTGAGCACGAATCAAGTATCTGATCGCTTTTGAGTCACTGAAAATTTACCAGAAATCGCGCGCCGGAAAACTCCAAAACTAGATTATCGAATAAGTAAACGAATGCGTTTTGTTTTTGTAATCAACTCTAATAAAAAATATTTATATTTTTTTCTAAATAATTTTGCCAACTGATGTTGCCACACGCGTGCTGCGTTGTTATTAACAGCACGTCGGTTTAGTAACTGCCACAGTCTCACCGTTATTCGCTCGCTGCTCAGCTGCTGGTACGCTGGCCGCCTTCACCTTCACTAGCGTGCTCACAATTAGTTCTTGTTGTTGTTGTTGTGTTCTGCGCTTTTGCTCTTGGCAGCAGCGCGCTCACACACCTGCTAGAGTCGCCACTGGAAGTCAGCGAAAGCCCCAACATCGTTGCTCTACAGCTGAGCTGAGTAGAGATGAAGTTCCAAGCACGTTATTGAAAGTGGTTTGGCGAGCTTTGATTTACAGCTTATTATATTATACATACTTTGTTATTCCCGTTTTGTGTTGGTGTTTCTGTGGTTCACTTTTCAGCTGCTCTGTGGTGAGCTCTCGCTGAAATGAGTTCCGCAGCTGATAAGCGAACATTTCTGTTTACATATAACATATGAAAAATTGATATTTTGGAGCACAAATTAAATTATGTGAGTACTACATACATATGTACATACTCATTTTAGTATGTGTATTATATGCATTATATGTTTAATTATTCCATTAATAGGTTGGATGATGATGTGATGTTCCGTCGTATGATACTGTCGTGATGAGAGAGCGTTCTAACATAAAATGCTATTTATGGGAATATAAAAGATACCCTTCGGGGCAGGAGAAAGCTGGGAAACCCGCACTAAATAGAATTGGCTCTGATTCATTATTATAACTTAATCCGCTTACTTTTATACAACAATTAAGTACGTATAATTATTGAACAAAATTCAATAGTCGAGTGACTTAGAAGCTTTGTTATTGTAAGCACATATCTAATATGAAAATAAAAACAAGTAAGGAATGGATAAGTTCGGCTGTAATCGAACATTTTATACTCTTGTAACTTGCTAGAATCAAAGGCCTTCAGGTGCTGGCAAAACTTTACATTTAAAAATCAAAGAAATCGTGAATAAATTAGAATCAAATTGGATATCTTCTTGACTCATATTGAAGATCAATAACTTAGACTTAATTTTATTACTATACTTAAGTTCGCGTCCAATAAAATTATATTAAAAACACCTTCAAATAAGATATATGTGTGTATGTGATATCAACTTGACCGAAGAGGCTAAATTTAATATATTGAGTTGATGTGGAAAACGTCCACCAGAGGATCGGAATTCATTATATTAAGAATTTGAGGTTTAGACCAAGGTCTAGACAAATTCCATTCTAATTCAGCGCTAAACCTTATAATCTTTAAGAAAAATATCATTTAAAGATCACACAGTTTGACCCTCCTAAACGGTTTAAAGTCAGATGGAAAGACGGAAGCATTATATGGGGTATATTGGGGGCAGACAAAGGGACGGAATGATTGCATTAATTTGGACATTGCTCAGGTATACTTGCGAACATATTTTCAAGCAATTTTTTAAATATATAACTTATACACTAAACGACATATTCGGCATGAAACTTCTTACAAAAACGAAAATCATTATTTGTACTATACTCGAGTTGGAGATAGTATTGAACCGATTTTATATATTTTTGGTAATACCACATACACATAATTCGGTTTATAATTTTAGCGAAATATGTATGTTTATATCACAAATTTAGAGGAATTCCCTCTTTGTAGTTACAAGCAAGTTTGTTGGTCCCAGGTAATAAATTACTCCCGGGGTTTTATTAAGGTACCTCACATACCATTATCTACAATTTATTCTGACATTAGTAGCAACTTGTTGCAAGAGTATAAAAATTGCATATTTCAAAGTTTACAGTCATCAATAATATTTATATATTGTGATAGTATATGTTTGCGATTTTGTGCAGCTTAGTATTGTATTACTGATTGATCTATTGATTTTGGATTTAGTATGATGTGTTGGACATCCATATCCATTTCAAAATTTACACCCAACACTGCAGTTTTGGGATAATTAAATAACAATATTTTTTATTCTCCAACATTCTCTAAGAAAATATGCTTAGATTATTAACTGAAGTAGTTTTTATATTTTTACTGCATTAATATAAAAATTTTTAAATAAAATTTTTCTAAATACAATTTCTAAAAAATTTTTTGATTCTAAAAAGTTTTTTAAATATTATTTATTTAATTTAGATAGGATATTTCATATTCAAAGCAATCTAGAAAAAGTCTGAAATAAAGTAATGCATTTATAATAAAAATGCAATATTGGAATGTACAATTTAATAATTTTTCAACAACAAATTTTCATAATTTCATTACTGTACCTAAAGCCATGTCCTTTCACATTTTCCTTGAATGAAATGTTTCGCTCCAAGAAGTTGCCATTATTTTCCAATGCCATTTCCAATGGCCTCTCTCTTGATTGTTTACCTCAGCATAAGCTGTACAGCTGTTTGAGTGCAGAGCACTAAGAAATTTTATTTTAATACTGGTGAAAATGTGTGCTTCTTATTAAAGCTTTTTTCTAAAGCTTAATCATATACAAGCACCTTGCGAATAGAAAAGCTTTAAAGATAGGCAAAGTTGCCAGATTATGGTTACAAGTATTATTTAATTAACCATTCTAAAATATATATATATTTTTTGTTTTGATTTAAATTATATCAATTATTTAAGTATAGTTTTTTATACTTTCTTACTTTTTTGAATTGGGGGAAAAAATCTTTATTATTGAGAATGATGGAAATTAATATTCTTAAATAAATTTAAATTCCGGTTCAAACAATATCGATCAAAACGATTACGTTAAGTTTGGCTTTCTTTAAATTCTTATCTTTGATTTATGATCCAAATTCGAGCTGGCATCGCTTATACTCGCATATACATATATATGTATGAGCCACATACGAGTATATGGTATTTTGTATAGAAATTGGCACCATTTATGAAATCTGTACTGTACCTGTATGTATTATAAATAAATACGAATAAGCTGAAATGAAATCTTATACTTCATTTGCGCACCTCGACATGTTGGTACTCGATTTATGATTACTAACCCAATTTAGCGTGAGCCAAATGTGCTAGAAATGTCAGTTCAGTGGCAAGACTTTTCGCGGACACGTGCTGCGCACACACTCCCCGGCACTTTCATCCGCACCAGCAAATACAAACCGGCATACTTGCGCCCACAGTTGGCATATTTCAAATCGCACTTCGAGGAATAAAATAAAAATATCTGCAAACATGTTTATACAAAATGTAACGGCAAATATTGACAAAAGCGTAGCTGGAAGTGCGCAAATTGACTTAATTGACTAAAACAGCGCTGAGAGGTGACTGAATCAGGGCTGCTTGATGTTTCGAATGTGTGTATGTTTGCATTTGTGTGAGTATATATGTGTGTGCACTATTTCTATATTTGGTTGACCACTTACACGCAGCCGCTCCTCCTCCAAGAGCCATTCCGTTACCCCTGGAGTCAGCATGCATGTAAAAATAACACTTAGAACTACTTTCACCATTGACTGGATTAGTTTGTTATTCACGCATACACATATATACGGTATCACTTAAAATTCCAATTATTTATCCCTGTGTTTTAAAAAACTTATACTATTTATCTTTGCTGTTTTGTTGTTTCAGTGTAGTGCATGCAGTGTTTTCCAATGTGATTTTCTAGGCGTTGAACTTTTCTTGCTTTCATTCTATTTTTACTTTCTTATTTATTACTTCGGGGTTGTATTATTATTTTGGCTGCATCGATGAACGCCGCCAGCAGCAGGTAATTACCGCCGAAAGCCCTGAAAAGGTCATTTGAGTGCATTTATTTTAGAGCGCTGGACCATTAATGGAAATGCGTTTAAACTTGTACACAAATATTACTTCAATTTTGAATTATTCAAAAATTTCAATATGAGAGATGGGATGATTTTATGGGGTTTTTAAAAATGTCATCAACCTCGGATGTAGATAAAATATATACTTATACAAAAGGTAAACAAGAAATATGTTAATGCTATGATATAATAATATGTATGTATTATGTCACACATACACATTTGTTAAACATCGCAAATCAGCTGAAAATTTAGTGTTAGTTTTGGATCATGCTTGTCAACTCAAAAGCACGGGGATAGAGTCTGCGACATACACTCGTGACTTTTAATTTTAACCGAAATATACCGTAATCCATGTTATTGATGAATTCAATGTATTACACTTCGTAATAGTTAAAAAAAAGCTACATAAATTGTTTATCACTTTCATCTACTAGAACTTTTGAATTAATGGTGCTAGTTCCTAACTTGAAACTCCTAACCTTATCTGCCCGGACTATCGGCCTGGTATATATCTGCAAGTGGCTTAAGACAGTCCGAATGCGCTTAGGTATACAAATTGAACTACTTAATTTAATTTAAAATTTCTAACTAAAAAATAACGGACGATAATGTGACCAATATTTTTGTAAGCAATTTCATTTATAATACACCATTGTTACCACTGGTGGACGTTAACAGACTAATCTGCGCAGAGTAATTACTAGATATTACTTTTAATTAAAGTCCGAAAATGTCATGATTATAGTTGAATGAATTTAATTTTGTTTGATTTTGTGTTTCAGCGCAAAACCAATTAAATTTATGTGTGTTACTTCGTATGTGTGTATGTTCATACACACTCTGCAGAAGAATCACAGTTGCGTTGGTATAAAAACTACTCTGTAACTAGTTTGAACCGCAATAATAACTTATGAGCTGATTTTAATTTTTTTATACAAGCGACTAATGCCAAAGTCGACGTCAAACGAGATGACAGTTGTCAGACATAGATCAAAAAAAAAAAAATATTATTTTCACATCAGTTCCAAATGTATCGGGAAAATCTACTACAAAATGCGAAATCGTAAAAAAGATAAAATGCTGAGTTACTTCTGTATATTTCATATATTAAAATAAAGTCTACAGAATAAACACAACTCTTACAAGTCCGCTGAAGTACAAAAAACTCACTAATAAATCGTTTTATAATTTTTCCAAGTAATTTTTTACGCCTTTATTTTAGTTCGGAAGTGCTAGTCACAAATTTTTTTTTAACTAGTTCAATTTCTATTTGTAAAATCATATTGCAAACTAGTATTTTCCAAAACGAAAAGTTTCTTAATAGAGCGAACTCCATAAATTTTTAACAACACGCCTACACATGTGAATAATGAACAGAGGCAAGGTGAAAATTGTCTGGCCGCCACACACGTACATATGCTTTTACATACATGGATATATAGTTGTGTATGTGTGAACACACGTGCTGCAGACACGTCTAAGAAAATTAGAGGAAATTTCTTAAACGAAATTATAA